CTAATTAGCATGCCTTCATGGTGTACTGGCCAGCACGCTTTGCACGCATTTCAGAGGTCCGTCGTTCGAATCCCGGCGAAAGCACTGCTCATTTTTCACGTCTCCCACTTCCAAATAACTTAATGTCTCTACAGTGGTTCGGAAACTAAAAACGGTGATGGATGATGATGCTCCACTACCAGAATTTGGCGATTGGGTCCCCTAATCCCCAGTTGCCCTTTAAAAGGGGGAGTATATAAGGTATTTCGGTACTATTCGGTTTCGAGGGCCGTAAAAAATCGACAAACTATTGTTGATGCCAGTGCTGCCAAAAGTAATTGGGGCAACTCTAATGCAAGAAAGGAAGTATAATAGTAAATAACTATCTAAATATTGATGTTTTAATTTAGATGAAAGGTTAATTTCATATAATAATTCGTTACCGAGTTATCGCTAAAAGCATAATGTCATCTCGTTGGTTTGTTCAAACATAATTTTCTATAATGAATGATGCCTTTTCTTTGAAAACATTTTTGGTAAAGTGCAGAATCGCCCGCTTATTTCTTTGCCACTTTTTACAAGGGTAAAAACAATTGGAATTCTGTCAATTTTCTTTTACTTTTTCAGTGACAATAGGTCGATGTGTACATAGATAAAGTCAAGGGTGTGCGCAGTGCCATTTTTGTGCAATTCTGGGAATTTTCTTTAAGTGAAAATAAGTTGATGTGTACATGGATACCGAGTACGTGCAATTCTTAAAAGCGCATCAAGCAGTGGATGATTCTGCATTTTATCCAAAATTCTGTCGCAGCCTTTTCATTATAGGCAATTCCCAAATTGTTAAATCCATAGGATATCAAAAAAGGAATTAAAAATTAAACTAGTATTTCAATGGAGTCTTAAGAAATATAGAACTATATAAACTTACGCAATCTGAAATCAGCGCGTATGCGAGATTTGGCATGCTGTGAAATGGACGTGTTTGCTAGATTTGGCGCTTTCACGCATACAATTTCGCTGCAATTTTTTTACGGCCCTTGAAACCGAATAGTACCGGTATTTCTCCCGCCTTCATGATGTAGTGGTCAACACGCTCGACACGTATTCGAGAGGTCCGTAGTTCGAGTCGCAGCGTGGGCATTGCTCATTTTTCACGTCCCCCACTTCCAAATAACTTAACGTCTCTACAAACTGAAGTGCAAGTATTTCAAAGAAATTGTTTTTTAAAATATCAAAATAATATAGGTGTCTGCTGCCCATCCACCTCCCAAAAATGCATTAATTGCATCACATAACATCTCCTACAGACCTACTTTCTTTAAAGACCTGTTTAATTTACTACAGTAAACCACATCAGCACTAGACATCGTTTTCCCATACAGAAAATGTCTCATATTCCTGCTCTGAGAAAAACAGCAAAAACTCCTAGGTAGCAAGCTTGTTTCCAGAAATTTAAATTTGGAACAAACTATCAGCATAAGCACCCATCTCCATATAACATTTGTTGGGGCTCTCAAAAGAAAAGAAAAAAAATCCATTATTTTGAAGTACTTGTGACTGAGACCATATTTAGAATACAATAAAGCTGCTCAATAGCATAACAATAAGTTTATATCAAATCATCAAAGCAATTGCATACAAAATCATAAGCATAACAATAAGTTTGCAGTTTGACAAAGCAATATAAGCTAAAAACTTAACTAAAACTAAAAACCTCTCAAACATACTAACACTTCAGTCTTTACTTTATGCAATGCAGAGAGGTCATCAGACAGACACAGTACAATCAATATTCAAATAACATTAGTAAAAGCATTGAATTCATGCAAAATAAAAACATGAGAGAAAATTTCTCCACCATAACTGTTTTTACAGAAATTCATGACAAATCTGTCAGAATTTTAAGGCATGATGAATAAAATGTTATTTCTCTTATAAATTATAATCACTACTCTTACATAAACTACATAAAATTCCCAAATACTAGTACACATAAAGGATCTTACGACTATTATACAAAAAAAAAAAAAAAAAAATCCCAACTAAGCTTAAAAGCAGATTTATATAATAACAAAAGCATCGATTTCAAACTGTCATAGAGCATATATATCCCATTATATTTAGATGCTATGCTCAAATGTATGAACAGATTAAAGATAGCTAGAAATTATGTAAGGATGCGTAAAATGTTATTTCGGAATGCGTTGATTTTGTGAAGCTGTTTTGTTTCTTAATCAATACATTAAATAAACAGGAAAACTAACTCATCTGTTAAAATATCATCACAAATTTAGAAAAAAAAATGGAAAGGCGAGTGGTGTTTAAGATCGTTCGAGAAAATCTTACACAGGTATTATCTACTAATGTTTAAATTCACGGCATTTAACAACAAACGAGGAAAGAGATGTAATAAGCTAAGAAGGATAGTAATAAAACTTTACTCACCTATCGCAAATGACAAGGAGACGCATAATCCGTTAAGTAAAGCTACAACTAAACTACACAAGATTGCACTCAACTTAAGTTTCATTGCAACTTAGCATTAACACTAATATAAACTGATTAACGATCACATTTAAAGCCGAAATGAGCTAACAATAAACATCAGTTACATCAAAACAATTCGCCTCACGCAATACATTTCGTCCAAGGAGCCCAAAACGAAACTATTCACTGGATGAAAGGTCCTTGGCGAGAATAGTTCTCTTTTTTCAAAAGTATTCGTAGGAGGCGCTGCATCTGATTCACGGCGAAATTTGTTTAAGTACGATCTTACAAAACATTTTTCATTTGAATAATCTTATTATGAGAATTAAAAAAATCTAAATATAGGCTAACCCCTGATTAGAGACAATGGATTAAATGTTATTATCCTAATGAAATCCATGTTAATCAAAGAGAAGAGCTAACCGGACCAAATATTTGGATGCTCTCCAATTGCGGAAGTCCGACAAATATACACACGAAAACTGTTACAGCATAGCAGCGTCTGAAGCACAATTTTTAAACATTTTCGAACCAACATCTTGAACAATTGAAAGGCAAAACATCCGTCCAATTTATTACGGGTTATTCAGAGAACTATACAAAGCACTTTTTTTAATTTATTCTTTAAAACTTTAACGCGTCCCCTTTTCCTTGGCTGCTGTTTGTAGTATGAACATTTTACTTCCGTTGGAAAAAAAAATGTGACCTACATTGTCGCAACGAAGGTTGTTCTCCCTACAGTACGCACATTCAATAAAAGGGAGAAGCTTATATCTTTCCAAGAGGTTTTCATTATTATAGAAATTCTTCCACAGAACTGGATTTTTCAGTTTGGAATATCTCTTTTTCATCCATTTATATCAAGCAATTTTCGTATCTGCTATATTCACTGTGCTTGAAATCCATAAGACTCGGGCAATTATTCTGTCACAAAGAAGAAAAAGAAGAAAGGTTTAATCAAATAATTTAGGATATTTTCTCATCATCACTATTATTAGACTGAATAAGACAGAAGTCAAAGGACTGGAAGAAAATCATCAACAAAATTTTTAAGAATTAAAATGTAGCACTTAAAAATGAACTCTTTCTCTCTCTCTCTCTCTCCCGATATATATATTGCTCGTAAAAATTAAAGGATAGTCTCAAAAAGTATGCTCATTAATTAAAGTTTTAAGCAAATGTCCAGTGGTGTAATTATTTATCCTAATTATCTGCATTTGACCCAAAATTTGAATTTTGGCCTTTGCTTAGCACCTAAAACATGCAGGAATAAGCGACTCACTAAATGAATAATTTGAAATTAGGTGAATGAGAATGCGTTACGCACTACATAATTGAATTCGGTTGCGTAGTATTGTTTAAAGTTATTGTGTTCTTGAGAATGATCCGTATCCATTAGTTATGATTAAAAGTTTATTTTGATTGACCACACAAAGGATAGTGAGGATAAAATATAGGCTAATTAATAAATTCGGTGGTCATAAACGGAAGTCGTTCAAAATCAAACAAGTCTTTCAAAGGTTTCTAGATTTTTTTCCCCTGCATATCTTCCACTATGTAAATTTGAGGAATAAAGAATCAAATAAATATGAAATTTGATAATGATAATGCTTTATACTATGCAAGTCATCCTTTCAAACCTATCATTCATAATTTAATGTAATTCAGTTTCTTCATCGTTGACCTCCCAAGGACGCTTCTTATATCTTTATTTTCAAAATTATCTTTTGCCCTCTTAAAAAATCATCAATGCAATTTGCCACTTACCCTATATTTCAATACGTTAATGCAGCGAAAAATTATGAGGGAGTGGAAGATCTTACCCCCTTTTGTAAAAGGCATAATTTTGAGTTAAGAAGCAAATCACTGGAATATATTAACATTTTTTCTTCTTAATAAGTCTTATCCTCTGTGTTTTCGGGGATTACTAAGCTTCTCACAATGATTATTCCCCCCCCCTCTGATGATATTTTAAACATTTAAGATAATAATGGACATTAATGTGTTGTCGTATTTCTGGTATATTTGTCTTTTTCTAATATATAGGAATTTTATGATTAATTAAAAGTAATGACTCCCCGTAGACTTGTTATTCAAACGAGTTCTAGGAGTGGTGCAACAACGTATATCTTGTCGCTAAGACCCCCCTTTCCACGAAGAAATTAGGTACTTTCGAATATATCATTACAGAATTTATCAGCGATGTGAATGATGTTGAAAAGTACGACAAAGGAGAAAAATTAATAACATCTGCAGCGCTAAATATTTTGTCCAAAAATAGAAAATTTGCCAAACTGGTGAGAAAAATATAATCACGCACACACATATATAACATGAAGCACCGCAGTTCAGTTCAACACATATATACAACAGCGGGGGCCAAGTCTAGTTGCTTAAGCTAGTCATTTTACGATCTGTTACAGGATGTGTTTATTATTGGTTGGATGTTTATAAATATATCTTCCATCTTATTAACTCTAAAGTTCTAACTTTGTACATTTCGACGATCGTTTTAAAGTGAACTGTTTTGGAAATATTCAACAGCAGTATTTTAATTTTAGAATTTAACTATAACTGTAACTGGAGTAAAACCGCTTTTTTTAAATTGCCTTTTCGTTAGTTTTAAAAATTTGAGTGTCTGGTTTTCAATCATGATATCATGTTTTAAAGGTAAGAAGTTTGTAAAAAAGTGCTATTTTAATTGCTGTTAACAGTGTAAGATTCAACATTATATTAAACATACACTCGTATCTTTATAGGAGGAACCTCTAATTTTTGGAGGAAAAGTTATGAAAATACGCAAGGTGCACTTTATACGAGGTATGTATCAAATTTGTTTCATTCGATCACACTGAATAACTTGGATCGATAGTTATTATAAATAATTATTATAAATTAATGTATTTTACTGAATTTCAATGATTGTTTTGCATAATTTCTTTATTGTTATTATTTTTAGTGAATGTAATTCGTATGATGCCATTTCTATTATTTGAATTTATGAAATTATTGAGATTAATTAAATAATGATCGTTCAACTATTCACATGAATGACTGCTTTCTTTTAAAAGTACACTTATATTAAAAAATCTTGATTTATGTTTTCTCTCCTGTACAGCTCAACTATAAGTACAGATGATATGCCTCGCATTTCAAAAATCATTGAATCCTTGAAGCAGTATGATGTCTTTAAGTATTCTGCATATCGGACTGCTTTCAAATTGCGAACGATTCAAAAAGCGTCAAAATGTAAGAAATTTTTTATATTTGTTTATTTCTAATTAAAGACTGTTATTTGTTTTTTGTGCAATTGTGTGCAAGGGGTTTCATCCACAGAGAAACCGTTGGCGCTTCGGGAAAGAACCCGTTGGAGCCGTAGCATTTTTACTCGCCAAGCTTGCGACTCATCTAGGATGAGCCAAGCCATAAGCGTGATGTTTTGTAAACGTCGTTTTTAATGTATGTAAATTCAGGTTAGCAGGCAATGGTAGTAAAAATTCACTGATAATAAGTATGTAGATGTAAAACTAACAGGTTAAACGTGATATACGAAAATAAATTTGTATTAAATTCAAGTTAGCACAGAAAACAATGTATTAAACATAACGGGAAGTAAAAATTCATTTAAAAAAATAAAATTAGTATTCTTATACTTACGTTTACATTATACTTATATGTATTTTCTCTAATTCATATACCTAGAATACTAATATTTCTATTAGAAGTGTCTTTTTTTCATTATTAAGTACTTTGCCTGTTGATTGATATATTTCAGTAAGAGCCATGCCCATGTAATAAATTAATGAATGCATGATCCTTTAATACATCCATTTTACATAGTTTTCAGTATTTTTTTTTTAAGTTTACTTGCATATAGCTTAAAGCATTTTACTTTGAAACAAAATATCTATCCTTTTTCATAATATATTTCACTATTGTGAAATATATTATGAAATGATGATATATATATTATGAATCAAATTTTCTTCAGTAGCATTGTTAATAAAACTAGAACTTTATGCATTTAAAAATTATTATAGGGGTTGGAAACCTCATGGTTCTGCGTGCTTACAGCTGTTAATAATTAAGAACATAACGTTAACAGCCATGTTAGCATTCACTCCTCCTGCCATATTTTCTTCCTTTCATACCGAACTGACGAGCCGAGAACCGGCATCTTTCGACGAAAACTTCTTTAATTATGCGAAAAATATTCTATTCGTTCGTTGTTAAAAAATTCAGAAAAAAAAAAAAAAAAAATAAATAAATAAGAGAGAACTAATGTAAATTTCCAAATGCAAACGACAACCTTCCCATAAGCGAATAGGATGAATTAGCTAGGTTACCAGGTTTGAACTATTATCGCCAAAGTTGGCGATGTTTACATTTACCGGGTTCTCTGCGGAAGTGCTTCCATGTGCAAAATGAAGAGAATTTGCACATTATGTCAAATTTCTGAAAAACTAATGGACAAATTTTAATGAAATTTGGTATGAACATATGCTTATAGCAGAGAAGGAGGAGTACCATTCAAAAGTCATATTATATATGCTTGATTATTAGTAAAGCTGATAGTGCAAAGATGTCTAAAATAAATTCTGTAGTGTCAAACTGAAAATGAGTAATATGTGGTACAAAGCCAAACAGGTCATGTAACATGTCGGCATACTGGATAGGAGGCAGCTGAGGAGTTCCTGTGGCAGTCCATCTCACTCCTGAAGCAAGGAGATTTCAACTCCATAATGGTGAGATAAAATTGTCTTTCAAATGTGTCCCAGATGTTCTATGGGGTTTAAATCAGGAGATCTGGCTGGCCAAATCAGGTGGCGAATATCCTTACTTTCAAGATAATCATCAGCCAGCTGAGCCCTATTTAGAAGAGTGTTTTCATCCAATACGAGGAACCCAAGACCAACTGTGCCCTTGAGAAGTTAAATATAGGGCTCTAAGATCTCTCTATATCTCATAGCAGTCAGGGAGCCTTTGTCAAACAAATGCAGGGGTTGTATGAGCAACTAATGCCTGCCCAAACCATTATACTTCCACCACTGTAATGATCCTTTTCCCTGATCAGGTAGGATGATATCATGTTTCAGGATCTTCCCAGATACAATTATGCCATGAATCAGTATCCAGGCTGAATCTCAACATATTTGTAAAAAGGGGTGGTGCTGCTCTAAAGTCTGTCACAACACGCATGTTGTCTGCACGATGCTAAATTTGCTGTCTTGTGTACTGCAATGAGCAAGACACAAAAAAGGCGGGTCTTCAGGCATACAGCTGTATCTTATAAAGCCTTTAGGCAATTGTAGACCAGGAAACTTGAGTTCCAGTGGCAGCATACAGCTCATGTGAGAGCTGTGCTATAGCAGTCCTGTGTTGTGAAAGTGCCAAATAATGATCCTCATTTCAACATTGTAAATCTTTGCCGGCCTTGTCTAGTTATTCTTGTTATACATACAGTGTCCTGAAATGTTTCTACAAACTGCAGATGTTATTGGGTGTTACATTGTAGCCACCTGAGCTTGATATTGGCTTGGGTGCTACTTTGGTAGATGGTTGCACAAATGTTGGCGAGCAATACGACTTATGGTAAATCCATTGCTAGACAAGTTATTTATGGTAACTGATACTTTGTTGTCATTTTATTTTAAAAATAATATGTTTTATTATGCATAAATTCCGTGTTTTAAATATTATTTATGGCTTCTAAATATTAAAAATCAATTTAATTTTGCATTTTTATTTAAAATAAAAATTTAATTGCTTATGATATTTTATGGAGTTTTATGTTGTGGATGATGTAATGAATGATGTCACATTACTTTAAAAAGTAATTGGTTTTTATATCTATAAATTTAATCTAATGTTTTAAACATTATTTATGGCTTTTAAATATTAAAATACAATTTAATTTTGCATTTTTTAAAAAATGATTTCATTATGTATGATTATTTAAATAATTTTAATTCTATTCATGATGTAATCAGCTCCCTGATTGGTTGCAGAACATTTGTGCATTAACGAGCTGTAATCGGCTCCCTAATTGGTTACTGAATATTTGTGCATTACTGCACCATTTTAAAATTTTATTATTCATCTCTTCAAATTCCTTAGATTACATTTAAAAAATTTTTTTAGAAATTTTTTGCCTTAGATTACATTTTTTGAATTATATTACATTTTTCAAATTTTTTTCATTGATATTTAACTTATGATTCCGATTTTTTTTTGTGGTACTTATCAATATACGGCAAGTTAAATACTAAAAAAAAATGTAAGTACTACATATTTTCTTTTACTTTATAATTGTATACTTCAATTTTTATTAAAAAAAAATTAATACACTGTTTTCAAAAAATTGCCAAGATATTTATTGCCACATATGTTTTAATATTAAAAATTATATCCTATAAAACTTATTTTTAAAGGATTTTGAATTTAAGTAATATTTTTATTCTTTTAAAAAAAAAACGTTGGTATGATGTTTTTAATTCAATATTCAATTTAAGTAATATTTTAATTCTTTTAAAAGTCAGTTTAATTCAATATTCAATTAGAGTAATATTTTAATCCAATTAAACGTTGGCACAATGTTTTTAAACCCGTGTTTTTATTCTTTCTTTGCTATAGGAAAGTAATAATTTAACCTTACTTAAGTATTTTATACTCATAGTAAATGTATTTATTTAAATTTGCCTGCCATCTTAAAAAACGACGATTTCAACAAAAAATTAATCCATTATTTTTAATGATGTTTATTTTTTTAAAGTTTCGACTACTTTGCTATGAGTAAAATACGTAAAAACAGCGTTTTTCAAGATGGCTGACGATTGTAAAAAACACGCCAACGTATATCGCCGAAAATCCATGCAACTGTATATCAAAGTAGCATCTTGGCCTGCTTCTAATCTGCCAATAATTCTCCATCTTGTTCCATCAGCCATGTATTTGTAACTACTCATTTTACCTGATAACATATAAAATTTACCCAATTATTGCAAGAAACATGGCAAATGTTGGGAAGGAGTACAAGCACATAAAATGCCGAAAAACCCGTTTGTGCTAATATAACCTCTACAATCACAACTCCTTTAGACATGCACATGTATGTTTAAGTATTCTATTCTGAATATTTGCATAATTCTTTGTCAGCATAGTTAGTACCTTTAATTCATTACTTTTTGTAAAAATAAACATAATTTGCTAGTTCTATTAATTTTTCACATAAGTGTAATTATATGTATAATAACACAAAATGATTTGTAGAATTTAAAATTTTCAAAAGTGATTTTAAAATGTTTTTAAGGAATTAAGGAATAAAGCTAAAGAAAACAGTTGCTTGTATATTAGTGGAAAGTATCTAAAAAAAGAGCAAATATGGCAATAAAAACTATATCTCTTGTCACTTATGATTACTTTTTGCAAAATTTAAATTATTATTTTGATGTGTTCTTGTCATGTAATTTGGTAATCATAATGAAAACTGAGAAAATATTTGATTTTTGATTTCTCATTTCTCCATAAATGTAGGAATTTAAGAAAAATACCTTCTGAAAAGTATTAAAAGTTTTTATCAAATCCAGATCATCCCAGTTTTTATCCTGTCTTATTTATATTTTTGTCAAAATGGATGATGAATTAAGAAATATGGAATTTTTATGATTTACATAGAAATTAAGCTTCTTTTTTTTACATTTCTTTGAAAATTTGAAAATTTAAAGAGATGAAAATGCAATAGATATTTTGGTATATGTGCATTTCTTTTGTTAATATTGTCATAATTATTTCACATTTAAAAAGTTGTTAAGCAGTGGTGTATTTTAACTGTTTTTGTATTTGTGTGTAGTTTTTCAATTTTACTGCATATATTAAATTAATTATTTTTTTTTTATCTGCAGTGCATATGGTGGATTTATCAGTAATAGGAAGCATTTTGAAAGATTATGAGTGTTCTAATCAATCCATAGAAGAGCCTATAACCCCTTCGAAAGCTGAAAATCTCTTGTGTGCCTTATACACAGAAGCAAGCAAAAAAATTGGTTTCACTGAAGAGCCAAATTTAATGGCTCTTCTGTTTCTTGCATTTTTACAGAATACATTTGTTGAGTAAGTGTTTTAATCCCCAAACATTTGCTTTTAGCCTTGTGTAAAAGGAAACGAACATGTAAACAATTGTGTAAAAGGAAACAAACATGTATACAAAGAAAATTTATTCAGAAATTAAATAAAATCCTAAAAGGTCAAAATCAAACATTTTTTATTTACTTTAATTTAAACTATTGCAGTTCAAGCTTGATCTATTCATTTACAAATGAAATCCATTCTTGTTTTAATTTTCTCCTTGATCTCTGAATTATAGCTGAGAAAATTTTTCTATATCTCAAATGCTGCTTTTGTATTTAGTCTTTCCGAACTCATAGTGCTTGGAAAAGATTTTATTCTTTTCAGTGTTGAAAAGCAGCATTCTGCCTATGATGTAGCCATGGAAATTGTTAAGAGGATTTTTATCAGTTTCATAATTTCACTAAGAACAACATCTAGATTATTTTCCAAGATAAATTGCAGCAGCTCAATTAATTTGCAATATTCATGAATATCAGATCTACAATATAATACTTTAATTTCAGTTTCAAGCTTTTCTTTATCAAGCATTTGATATGCTTCAGTGGTTAGTACTATCTCTTCTGTTAGATGTTCATTTTCAAAACTAGTGAAGCATTTCTTATTAAAACGTTTAGCAGCTTTGTCCATTATATAAGCTCATATACAGTCACACACTTCCTAAGTTTCTGCCATGAGGGCCTTCGAAGGATTTTCACAGTACTTCGAGTTTCTTAATTTTAAAATAATAGCAGTTTTGAAATTTGTCATATATTCATTAACTTTAAACACACTAACTTCTCGAGATTGCATTTGGTTGTAAATTATTTCAATATGATCCATAATCTCATGAAAAAGCTTTAACCTAAACTTAAAATTATCATTCAAGTATTTTAAAATTCCTGTTGCTTCTGCAATGGTTTGATCTGCATCTGATGTTGACTAAATTTCTGTAAGTTTTTAAAAAGCTGCAAATTTTCATGAACTCTCTTTTATAGTTTGTATGTTGAAGCGCCACTTTATAGAGCATAGATGCAGAATGCTGATGTCTACATGCTTCTTGAGAATGTACACATGTTGAATGCACTTGAGAATGGACTGTGTTGTTGAGAAGAATACTGGAATAGCCAGAATGTTAGAGAAAAATATTCTTGCATTTTGTGTATTTCTCATTATGCATTTTTTGTTCTTAAATTGGTAGGCATAACAGTAAATAAAATGAGCTCTTCTAAAGGGTGTCCCAAAATTAATGCAAGATTTGAATTAAATAAAAAACACAGTTTTTTTTTTCTTTAAATTGATATTTTTTATTGAATTGTAGAGTACACAGGATAGGGTTATGTACGGAAGAACACATGGGCAAATGGCCTCAACGGCTTTGCTGTCACATACTCACACTTTTGTCGAAATTTTCCATGACCATTTTGCATAAATATGGCTGAATTTCATTGATGCAGTGTTCAATTTTATCCTTCAGTGCGCATGTGCTCATTGGCCTGTTGGCATAAACCTTTGACTTCAAATAACCCTGTAAGCAGAAATCTAATGGTGTTAAATCACACGATCTAGGGGACCGATTTTCATCACCGAAACGAGAGAGTATACGGCCAGGAAATGTCTCATGCAGTAATTGAATTGTTTCACAGGCAATGAGGCATGTGGCCATCTTATTGAAACCACATGGCATCCACATCAATATATCCAATTCAGGCAGAAAGAACTGTGTTTTCGTGTCGCTATATCGAGCACCAGTAACTTCATTGCTTGACTAGCTTTCTGGCCGAATGATGCCTCTAGCCCCAAATCCGCATCCAGCAGTGACATGTTTAAGGATACATTTGTTTTTCAACAATTACATGTGGGTTCTATGAACCCCAAATGCAGCAGTATTGATGATTAACAAAGCCATCAAGGTGAAAATGGGCTTCATTGAAATTTACGAACTGTGGCCGCCAGACTTTCATTGTTTTTGTGATATTTTTCAACAATGAAAACACATTTTTGTACTATCGCGTAATGCTTCTTTTCTACTAACCCTAAACTATCAGCTGTCAAATGGTTTTTTTTTTTAATAGGGTTGCCAAAACTTTACTGCACGAACAGTGGCAAATTCAAATCTTGCATTAATTTTGGGACACCCTTTATAAACTGCTTTTACTCTTGCATTTTTGTCTTTAATGACATTTGCGCCATCAAATGTCTCAGTTATCAGTTTTTGTCCATTGCCTTGAAGGATTATGTTCAGTTGTTCTACAATATGTTTTGATATGCCATCTGCAGTTTGAATTTTTGGAATGAAGAATCCCCCAAATTGTCCATTCAATACGTACCTTAGAACATGGACCATTCATTGTGTCATCAGTCATGACAGTTACAAAGGAAGTTTTTTTTAATTTCTTTTGTCTCCTCATGATATATTTGTAGAGGCAGTCAGGTATCTTATTCTGAGTGGTCTTAAAAATATCTTTGAAGACTGCACTGATTTAAGTGATTCCTCAAAATCCAAGTCTAATTTAGATACAAAATTTACTGATCCTCTAAATACTCCTGGATTTACTGAATCATCTTTTCCATCATGTCACATAAGGGAGTTCCAAAGTTTTTACAAAAGGAAATGCAGTCTGTTATTTTAGACAAAATTTCACAGTTTTTTTAATTTTATATTAGACTCATTGAAAGTCTGTATGCCTCACTAAGTTTCTTCTTAATACTTGAAGTTCCTAAAAGTTATAGTGAAACTGCATTATCAAGATACTTTATTGACTTTTCATGCTTTTTAGACTTTTCTATCATTTTGTTTACATTTCTAAAACCATCTTTTCTTCATGTTACATCACCTCCAAACAGCAAACGCAGGAGCAAAGCAGTGCATTTTTTACTTCACAACCACACAGCTAACTTTTCTGTTGGTACCCTTCAGAATTAAAGCTATGAATATATTCTTTATTGTTGCTTGTGCATGGCTGAGATATTAGAATATCAGGTATTGCACAATTTTTTTAACTAACTTTCTCATGGAGCTGTGAAAAGTTAAGCTGTTGAAGTTCAATTACAGTCACAGAACTTATTTTTTGCAATGATACAAGGGCTTGGTTAAAGTTTTCTGTAAAATAAAAGACCCTCCCCCAAAAATGAATCAAACTGAAAAGCTGAAAATGGATAATAATCTAATTCTACCATTTTATTATATTCAAGAATATGGTACACGATTTTTAAACATGACACATACAGAATAAAAAAAAAAAAAAAAAAAAAAAAAAAGTAAACTACCATCTACCAGCAGGGTTGGCATTGCAAGAGCAACAGTGCTCTCTCTACCTTCCAGCCTCTCGTGGAACTTCCTGCGTATGAATGCGCACAACTGCCAAACATCATACCGTTGGAAATGTGAAGCGCACAGTTCCATACAAAAATTTTTATATCTTTCATAAACTGGAAGATGACTACTGACATTAAGTTTAAGGATTATATATTGTACAAAGAATGAATAAAAGAAAAAAAATTGTTATTTTAAGTGTTATTAATAATATCAAGTGGAAATAGGAGGTGCTGTTGTTCCACAGTGCCTATATGCGAAATGCCACCAAAGGTCAGTAATTTTCTAAAGAATGTTTCGCAAACTGGAAATTTGTTACCAAGTGAATTTTGATTGACTTGTATGTCTCCTTTACCTCATTGCTATTGATAATGAAAACATTGCTTGTTATTTAGTTTTTATTGTCCAGAATTTTCATAAAATTCACAAACCAAAGGTTCAATAATTTAATCAATTTGCAATGACATCATGTAATTTTTTTTAATATCCCTAATCTCATGTACATAAATTGTTAAAATCCAAAGAATATCAAAATTTATATGCTTTGTTAATAGTAAATACTATTATTATTTTTTTAAATATTTTCCTGCTTTCTCACTGTGTTAGGAAATAAAAATACTTGCTTTAAAAATGAAGACTTGACAAAATGAACTAGATCGTGTAATTATTTAATATAAAGATTAATTAAAACCTGATTATTGTTAAATCTCTCTATATTTGTAATTTTCATGAATAAATAAAATAAGCACTGATATTCTTTATACAGTTGTTGTATTGTATGTAAAGCATGTTAAAAAAATTGTGTTATCATAATATTCTCTGTTCACTGTTGTATGAAATAAAGATTATTTTTATGTTTTTATGTAATATTCTGAAAATTGTTGTACTTAGTTATGAATTAGTTTTGGAAGAAAATTGTTTTTACATTAAAAATGGTATTTACTAAAGAAAGGATTGTATTCTAAATCACAAAATTTCTTTTCCTATCCTTTTGAACTTTTGCTCTTTTTTATTTTATTTTTTATTTATTGCAGGTTTAGTTGCATGCTTCTCCCCTACCTCCTTCTTTTCTTATATAAGCAGAAATGCACAAATTTCTTTTGGAAAATTTGCTTGCAAAATACTGACAGTTCTTACACAATTTGTGTTAATCATTTTCTCCTCTTCTGATTTCCAGAGAAAACAAGACTTAGTTGGGGAAAAAAATGATGGTACTTAATTGATGTCTGTGCCTTAACCTTATGAATAGTTTTTTTTTTTTTTTTTTATCAAAGAGAGAAATGTTTTTCATCTTTCACTTTGTCATCTGGTGAGATGATTTTTCTAGAGAGGCCTTCCTCATCACTCTTTCACCTGCATTAATTGTTGTCTTCCTTCTCCAAAGAGCAAAGGTTATAAATAGTAATTAAAGTGACCTTGATGGCAGATACATTAAAGTTAAAAAAGATTCGATGCCAAAATGTATTATGGCACGGTGAAGCTAATGAAACATTTCTTTAAAGTGGCGGTGTTATTGTATTAGAGTTAAAAACTTTTAGGATTTTTTAATCATGTTAATGAATTTTGTTGTACAAGCACTTTGGGGGGGGGGGGAACTTTTTTTACTGCTTATCAGTACCAATTAACATTTTTGTGATAATGCATTTTATATTTCTGTTTGCTAGGAGCGGAGAAACCTCTTCTGTTTATTCATGTGAAAATTGCACTGACATTGTTTTCTGCTGCAAAACTTTCGGGAGAAAATAAATGTAAGTAAATTATTTTTTTTATTGTGTAAGCCAAACTATTTAGATTATATTTCACTCATTGTATTTATCTGTTCCTTAGATCTGTTTTATCATTGTTCTGGTGGTACTAGCATAAGTAAAGAAAACCTAGAACTGCTGCTGAAGTCACTATCCAAAGCAAGTATATTTATGATTATTCCAGTGTGAACACTTGCAAACTACAATTATAGTAAATTTGATTCTAAGATGATCATAAACTGCAATATGTGTAATAAAACAGCTCTTAAATATGAATTTTCTCTTGTGTTTCCATTTCTTGTAATATCTATTCTACCTGCAGTTCTGGATTTAATTGCATTAAAATTTTACATAAAAATAATTTATAAAAATTTAAATACACTTAAATGTATTAGTCAGCTACCTAACTTTCAGAACATTTTATTAAAGATTATTTAAATAATTCTGGTGTTTATGATAGACACATTTTCAAAATGTATTTCAGATTTTTTGATTCAAAATTTTGTCACAATGTTTGTGCTTATTACATTTGTAAGCATAAATTAATATTTTCTTTGTTTTATATCAGGTTTTGTATGTATATTTGGTACTTACGTATTAACGCAACCAGGCCAAAATTCGCATAAATCGCCAAATTTGGCAACCCTACTTACGGCAACCCTACGTGTTATGGGGCGTGTACTACCACAGCAATGGATTTTCGGCGGAATTTGCCGAGAAAAGAAAGAGACTTTTTTGGTTACTGTACCTAACAGAAGCGCCGTTACCCTCATAGAAAAAATTTGCGAAAATATCAAGGAAGGAAGCATCATTTATTCGGATTGCTGGAAAGGATACAGTACGAGTGAGTTTGAAAATGCTGGATTTCTGCATGGAACTGTTAATCACAAATATTTGTGGATCCTAACACGGGCGTTCACACACAACATGTAGAGCGCATGTGGAGGCTCAGCCAAATGGCGCAACAAAAAACAGAGAGGAACAGCCCGTCATCATCTTGACTCATACCTTATCGAATTTATATGGCGCCAAGCTCAAGCTGTTAATGGCGAAGACGGTTTTCAATCAGTGCTAAAAGCAATAGCCAAAAGATTTCCGCCGAAAAAATAATTCTGCAACTTATTCAAATTCAAAACCGGAAGGGTTTAATTTATATTTTATATTTAAAAAAAAATAATAAAAAAAAAACTGTATTAAAAATTATCTGTAATTAATAAATGTACATTTTCTTTCTATTCATACTTTTTTACTCAAACTTACAAATCGCGCCAACCTGGTTGCGATAATACGTAAATACCGTATATTTTTGCATTCATTTAAAAATGTAAGAAATAGTAAAACCTGTTTTATTGTTAGTAAGTGTGTTCAAACTTTTGTTTCTATATTATTTACAACTATTTAGATTATTTTAACTTTTGTTTCATTTTTGCAACATTTTGTTTCATTTTTTGTTATAGTATTGTCATAGTTATTACTTTTATTTATTTCATTGGGGGAAGGAGATTTTTTTTTCAACACATAATCAAACATTATTTCTTTTAATAATCAAGTTCGGATATTTTCATTTATTAAATTTTTTTATTGAAGAGTAGAGTTTCTGTAAAGGTGGATTTTATTCTAATTCTTGTTTTAGATGGCTGAAATTGTTGGAGAGCAAGTCACTTTTGGATCACATTTAGTGCCTGCTGCAGTAAAGCATTGTTTAAAATTTGTAAGTATATTTATTTACTAAAACTATTTATCCTTCATTTATTTTGTTTTAACCATCTTAATATATTTTATTTATATGATATTTTAGTGCAAAGGTAGAATAACAGAAAAGAAATTTAACAAATGGCTTTCTCTGGAACCTCAGACAACAGTATGGATATCTACTCTTCATAGGATATCAGCATCGGAGAAAAGTAAAGTTTCATTTGTTTATAAGATTACTTTTTTTAATCTGTATTTGATCCTCAATGTTTGTGTCATTTTGCACTTCCCCACAGACACTGTACTGTTTGGATGTAACATCCACTTTCTGGATCAACATAATAAAATTTGTGGTTCACAGTGAAATGTTTGAAGCCGGAATTTCACAGCTCGTTCATTCATAGAATTTATATAAATAGTTGTTCCTTCCATAACATTTTCCTTAATGACAGCCAACAACGTTTTTGCTGATTGATTAGGAACTACAACTAAAAAACCATTTTCTTCTTTTTACAATACACCGAAAACCTATTATTGTGGAAGAATACACCCAATATTGCTCTTTCTCCTAGTGAAAATGATTCTATTTCTACAAACTTGTGCTCCTGCCGATTTTCACCATTGGCCTGGCTATTAAAGCTGCTGTGCAAACCTCCAGCATGTGACTGTTCCAATCAACAATCATATGGTTCATCTTAAGTTGTCTGCAAAATTCAGTCAATCTCATCTCCTGGACCAGAAGTACGTAGCGTATTCGGAAACTAAGTACCGTTTCATTCTAGCGCCGTCGCAGCGCTGTGGTAGGCGTCCCGTGCATGCGCACTAGTCTTTCTTGTTCACTGACTTTCAATTGTCGCCATTTTGGTTGCTCTATGTTGTGTTTTCAGTTTGCTGTGCACATTCAAAATGTTTAAGACAATTAGTTCTCCCGCTGACTGTGAGATTCGTGCCGTGAATAAATTTTTGAACGCGAGGAATGTTAAAAAACCGGCCGAAATTTATCGTCAAGTGCCAGAAGTTTACGGTGAATACGCGATAAGTGATGGTATGGTGAGAAAGTGGGTAAGAATGTTTAATGCAGGTCGAACAAATGTCCACACCGAAACTCGGAGTAGTCGGCCTTCAGTTGTCGCCGATGATTTGGTTAGGAAAGTTGATGAAGCAATTCATGAGAACAGACGCTTCACAATGACAACTCTTTCAGAAGCATTTCCACAAATTTCACGTACTGTTTTGTTCGAAATTGTGTCTGACCACTTGAATTCTCGCAAAGTGTGTTCCCGATGGGTTCCAAAAATGCTCACTGATGTTCACAAAACAAAGCAACTTGGTAGTGCCTTGACATTTCTCATGCGGTACAGTGATGAGGGAGAAAACGTTTTAAACCAAATTGTGACAGGTTATGAAACTTGAGTGTGTCATTTCATACCAGAATCGAAACTACAATCGATGAAGTGGAGACACACTCATTCTCCAAAAAAACAAAAGTTCAAAGTGACAATGTCATCACAAAAAATCATGTGCACTGTCTTCTGGAATAGGAAAGGCGTTTTGCTTACTGAATTTCTTCCCAGAGGTGAAACCATTAATGCGGCACGAAATTGTGAGACTTTAACAAAACTAAGGCGTGCCATTCAAAACAAACAAAGAGGAATGCTCAGTAAAGGAATTGTGTTGCTCCATGACAATGCTCGGCCCCATACTGCTGGTGTCACCCAATCGTTAATTCGACAGTTTCATTGGGAGCAGTTCGATCACCCGCCGTACAGCCCGGACTTGGCACCATCCGACTATCACTTGTTCCTGCACATGAAGTGCGAGCTTGGTGGCAAGCGCTTTGGATCTGACGATGACACGAAAAATGCTGTGGAGTGGTGGTTATCGAAACTGACGGGAAGTTTCTTTGACGATGGTTTACAAAAACTGTCACCCGCTCTGACAAGTGTTTGATCATTGGCGGAAACTATGTTGAAAAATAGTTTAAGACATGTATTTTCATTAAAAAATAAAATTGGATTTGAAAAAATTGTTTTACTTTTTTTTTTTTTTTTTTCTTCCAAAACGGTACTTAGTTTGCAAATACGCCTCGTATTATTTTTAGAAAAATACGGAATATAAAAAATGTATGGCAACACTTAAAATCTATTGGAATTCTAAATGTATGCTACTTTAAAATATTTTTTAATTTTACTGTTGAATTTAATATGATGTAAGTGAAAACAAAATGATGTTTAATAAATAAAAAGGCAGTTTGTTGTTGTCAAGGTAATTTTCTTGTGAACCAAATTGCTCCTAAAGAGGGGCATTCATGATCTAGAGTTCTACTGCATTTTTAAGGCTTTAAAAATAAAAAATCTCTTAAATTTTAAGTTTTTTAATAAAAAAACTAACTTTTTTTTATAATTAGAAAACAATTTGTTTCATGCTGAGTAATTTATAGCAACTAAATGCATGATAAAATGTTATTTCATTGTTAGTAATAAATTTTGTTGACATATTCATGATTCTGTATTTCTTTTATATATGAGAATTTAATTCAAATTTTGATTCTTAGTTCAACATACTGTTACATGCAGTCACTGTCAAGTGAACCCTATTATTGGTCTAAGGTAAGTTTCATTTTTGTTTTTATGTGTTACTTGATTCTTAAGATATGTTACGCATGTATGCTTGTAATTATATGTGCATATGATGCACACATATATTGTGTTTACATAGAATTAATTTCAGTTTATAGAGCTTTAGATTAATGGGGATGGTTATCTTTTTTTTTTTTTTTTTTTTTTTTTTTAAATTGTGTGGAACTGAGAATACTTTTGTGAATGAAATATATGAAATTTTTTAAAACTGATAGCTACATATGCATAGTTTCCTTTCATTATCATTTGCAAAATCCAATATTAGCATTTTTACTTTGTCAATGAAATGGAAATGAAAAATTCAAGTTACTATAGGAAAATCTCTTATAGTTACAAAGTTGTCTAGATCTATAATGATCTTTGTAAAATATAGGAATACTCATAGTGGCAGAGTAAATATTTTGTTATTTGGTTTTTTTTAATAATCTGAGAGAGTAAATGTAGTTTTAATTCCTTAACTTAAAAGCCCAAGAAAACTCGGGATTTAAATTTTTAAGTAAACTTAAAAACCCAAGAATACTCATTTATCATGACAATATTTATAAATTTAAATTCAAATAAATATGTTGCTTTCCCTTAGTTACAAATGCAGCCACCTTACAGCTACTTGAAGGTCAAGCAGCTGCTAAAAACTGCTTCTAAAGAAGTCAAGATTAGTAATTTTAATAGCCATGTGCTTGTGTTGTGTTATCTTATATTCTGGCTTTTTTTCTTTTCTTTTTATTATGGACAGTGATTAAGAGTTTAAGTTTTTTTCTTTTCTTTTTATTATGGACAGTGATTAAGAGTTTGATATAAAATTTAGCAGGTCAGAAAGCAACACTTCTAATACAGACAGTGTAAATGAAGCAACAACAGATCAAGAATGCATTTCAATTTTTCCACCATTGGATTACACCTCCAAAATTTCCCTTTACTGGAACACCTTTATTAATTTTTACTGTTTAGCAAAAATACTATAAATAGTTTTGAAAGAAATTCAGACAAATTTTTGCTTTTAACATATTTTATTCTGTGTAATGTTACTTTTTAAAAGCAATGAGTATATTCGAGATTAACCTTTCTTCAATACTCTCTAATTACCCCTTAAGTGAATAATTTGTCAAATTGTTGTTTGCAGTACTCTATATTCATAATAAAGTTTAAAATTCAGCATTACAAAAAATTGGAAATTTTGGATAAACTCTTACAAAATAATTGTTAAGGTTGTTAATTTATCATAAAAATTATTTTTAAAGAGCATAGTGGTTTGTTTAACCCGTCGCGGCACAGTGTGTCTGGTCTGGAAACGCCTAAAAATTTCCTTCTATACACACAGAAAAATTGAATAAAACAGGGTTTATAGGTTACTATAGGTTACTCTGAACCATCTTTATTTATAGTAAATGGCAGCTCAACACAAACCAGTCCATATATTTTAGCCATGTTTAGTTTTTTAAGACCCTCATTTTTCAAAGAAATATTTCCACATTTTTTTTAGGGTATAAAAGGAATTGTTTGAGAAGAAATTTCTATGTTATTTTTTTTTTTTTGCTGTATGCTAATCTCCTTATTCTATATTAGTTTTAAATTTTTACCTTGAAATCTTGCCTAAAATCAAACGGTGAACCCTAGGTGTGCCCCAACCGGGCTCACCAATCATCTAGGACAACTGAGAGTCTGTATTCTTTGTTTCTCCGCATCTTATCAGTCAGTTCATTGACAACGATGCTCGTTTCAGCACTCTTTTCGAAGCTCTATTCAATCAGTGTGCCACTTTGTGCACACCCACAGAATTAAAACGATAAGTGCTATCTTTACAAAATTTTACTTGTGTACTCCTCTAGGCCTAATTAGACTGCCTGCCTCTCTTTTTTTTAATTAAAACTCCAACTTTAAAGGTAGCATGCCGGAAAGGGTTATTTTACTGGTAACTGTAAAGCGACCTAATTTTCCATATACATATATATATATATATATATATATATATATATATGTCAAACACAGCCTCATTATAATGCAAGTTACAGGAGCAAAATTAAACTTGTGTTGTAAAGCCACCTGGACTATATGTACACTGTAAATAAAAAAAAATTACATTTATACACATATATGTGTAAACACATATGTTTAAGCTTTACTGGACTGAAATCATTATTATATGATGAATCTTAATACATAACAGTTCTAAAATTACGAGGGTTGGAACTTTAATAGTGGCAACTATTTATTTACAAGGAATACAAAAGTGATTCACGTCACCATGTTTTACAGTCCTTCAATATAGTCGCCGGCATTGTGTACAACCCGTTTCCAACGATGTTGAAGTCGCAGAATACCTGTAGCAATGCCTGTTTTGTTGATAGTGTGAATGGACCGGTCTACTGCCGCAAAAATCTCAGAAACAGTTTGGAAGCGAATGCAACGAAGTGGTTCCTTCATCTTAGGAATTAAGTCATAGTCACAAGGGCTTAGATCTGGGGAGTATGGTGGATGGTAAAACACTTCCCAGCCCCATCGCTTGAACAAATCGCAATTGGTTAGAAGAACATTCTGGACAATTCCAGCGAATGATCTGGCCACCTAGATCGCCGGACATGAATCCCATCGAACATTTATGGGACATCATCGAGAGGTCAGTTCATGCCCAAAACCCTGCACCGTCAACACTTTCACAATTATGGACGTCTGTAGAGGCAGCATGGCTTAATATTCCTGCAGGGGACTTCCAACGACTTGTTGAATCCATGCCACGTCCAGTTGCTGCACTTCGCCGGGCAAAAGGAGGACTGACAAAATATTAGGAGGTATCCCATGACTTTTGTCACCACTATATGTACATGTGCTGTAGCTATCTGGTTGTTCTTCAGCTTTGACAGCTTTCCATGAAGGAGGTGGGAACTCTGATGAAAAGTGCCCCATGTTGACTTTAACATCAGCATGAAGTCAGACAGTCAACCTCATTCATGAAGCACTTATTAGTATAGATAAACAAAGGGTTTATGAAGAAATGGAGGACAATAACTTTGTTAAAGTTCCTGTGCAAAGTTGAAGACAAAATCCGCAGTTGAATCCTGTGCACAGAATCAAAAGTGGAAAAAATCCCTAAAATTCTTTGAATGGTTGAAACTTTGTCAAGTTATATTCTGGAAGTTGATCTCAATATTGAATGTAAACTTGCAATTTATTGAATGATAAACCATGCAGCTGGCTGCTAGAAAAAATTTATGAAAGGAAAATGAAAAAAAAAAAAAAAAATAAGCAGACATCGATGTTGTAATTTTTAAAGAACAAAAAATGAATTATGGAAAACATGCGTGTTCTAAAATTGTTTGTAATAAAGAAGTTTGACTTTATTAATCATGTTTTGCTTATAAAAAATGGAGACTTTTTTAAATCAGTTATTATATTTTGCATGTATTTAGTTCCTTGATTAGTCCAATTTCAAATGACCCAGGATATTGGCATAATCGATAACTCACGCTATCTGAGGTATTCTTGCATTCAAATTTCAGCTTCACAAACCTTAATTTGTTGTAACTTGTTGTCTATTGCTATTTTAAAAGAATTTTTTGGGCATATTTTTGGATGTTTGCATAAAAAATAATGCATCTATGACGAACATTCTTTATTCCTGTTAAATTGACTTTTATTCCTGTTAAATTGTAATAAGAATCTCTCTTGCTGTTGTAATTATAGGTATCGATGTTTGCAGTGTATCAATTATAATTTGTGCCAGAACTGTTTCTTGTGCGGACAAAGGAATCAAGGACATAAAGAAAGACATCCTGTTCAGGAATTTTGTTTACCAGTAAGTGTGTGTCATCTCTTATGTAACATCCAGTTTATTAGCAGTCGTATGATCTATAGAAATACAGCAAAACTTGTATTATCCAGACTAATTGGGGCTTATCCAGGACTGAAAATCCTGGATAATCATGCTTTCAATGCATTACAAAATAAGACAATTTATTATTTTATTTATCATGTTATATTTCAAAAAAGATTTAACAGTTAAAGAAAATAAGCTATTTTATTTCTTTTAAACAAAATGCAAATGTTAGCAGTATTTGAACAACTGAATTACTTTTTATTTGGGTTAACAATTTTTCATCTTTTTTTATCCATTTTCAAGCAAGATAAGAGAGCTAATTACTTCCATTGATCCTAAAATTAATCATACAATCATATTTTTTAATTGAACTAAAGTTAAACAAAGAAATTACTTTTTATTTGTGGGAAATATGTCACACTACATATTTCTAGTTAACAAAACCAAAATAAGATGGATGATGAACATGTTTTGTTTATTTTGCTTTTCAAAAATATATATATATATATTTTTTTTCCAAATAAGCAGTGATTCTTAGCATTAACATGATTAAAAAATCACTACATATAAAAGAAAGAGTCTGTGTGTGTGTGTCTTTTGTTCGCACTGCGCGTAAGCTAATAGACCCACAGCTACGAAATTTGGTACATAGGTGCATTTAGACAAGAGCCAGTTCACCTCGAAGTGATTTTTTTTTTAAATTTGAATTAGAATTTTTTTTATTTTATGTTTTGTGACGAAATCGCGTCATTTTGAGACATAATGGGCTATAGGAAAGCGAGATTTTACTCTACACACTCCACTTTCACATCGTCATGAAACGTAGGCGCTTAGCTATTTTACAACCTTAAAATAAATTTCGTGTTTCAATAAATCAATTAAATACGAATTTATTTAACAAAGTGAGCTTAACACCTTTTCAATGGGATTTTTTTCTTAAAAAGTTTATTTTAAAAAATGTACAGTTTATTTTTCTTTGATTTTTGGACACGTTAAACTTTCATCCTTGCGACTGCTTTTACAAAACGAATTTTGGAAAAATAATAATATTTTGTATTTTTTAAAAAATTTTTAAATGAAGCTTCCGAGTACACTTCTCACATCTCACATCTTTAAAAATGTGATTTTGGCAACAATTTTCCTTTCTTATTGTTGCTGATAGATTTTTGATGAAATCTCATCATTTTGAATAGTTTCATTCTTTTAGAAAAATGGGTTTGGCAGCAATTTTTCATCGTATTTCTTATGTCACTGTTTTTAAGAGATTGGCACATTTCATTGTCATTTTTTTGTATATATAATACATTTTTATTTTATTTTATTTATTTATTTTATTTATTTATTTATTTATTTATTTGATAAAGTTGTTCTGCAGAGTAAAATTCTGCATGGATTTTTTTTTCCCCCTAGTTTTTTTCATGTTATTTTTTGCTTATTGCTGTGTTTGTAAGATATTGAATAATTTTTCATTATTATTTTTTTTTTCCTTCAATAGAAAGTTGGTTAATTTTTTAAAAAATTTGTGTTTTTTTCCCCCTCCGGAAGTTTTCTGCAGAGTAAAATTCTGCGCAGTTTTAAATTTAATGTTTTTTGTTCCCTTCAGGCATTTTTAAGGTAGATTTAAAAGCCAGAGCATAGCTGCTAGTATTATTAATGAAATTGATAATTAATTGTCAACTGATATAAAGCTATATTGTGTAGTACAAAAGAAATCATTTGAATAACCAGCTTTCTGAAAATCCCTGTTGCCCCCAAAGAGACCCTAATAATTTGCTTCTTCACACAGAGGTATGGTGGCTCTCTAAGATAAATTTTTGCAGTATTTTATAGGTATTTTAAATTCCGTGATAGATGTTGAAAATCTTATGGTGACACAGGTAATAAAATAATACCAATAAAAAAAAACATATACTACTTAGCTGATATGTATTCATTTTTCAACACCGCACAAAAAGAAGAGTTATCAGTCTCATTCAAATCTAGATCGATTATATTCAATTTTCATTCTGACAGTGACCTGCTTATACTGATATTGAATCTAAAAGAATTCAATTATGTTGATAACAAAACTTTGCAAGGGTCTGTTTTTGAAAAGGACTTTATTTTCTCTGAAGATACATTGTTTTTGCAAAATTTAAAGTATTTTAATGTTTGCTGCCAAACATTTAATATTTGAATATGCCAACATGGCTCAAGAAGCTTTGAACTACGATACATTTGATCTTGATATTATGATGCAAGAAGAGTTTATTGCTCTGAAGAAGGATGTTCAAGCACAAATCTGATTCAAAACACATGAGTATTGAAAGTCATCTGAAAGGAATTTTCCCAAAGTAAAATTTGTTATCAAACCAACATAATTGACTTTTTCTGCTTTTTTTACCAAGTGGAAGCAGGTTTTAGTTAAGTCAATAATTTACTTTAAAAAAAATAAGAAGCAGCTTGAACATTTTGAATGAGACGATTAAAAAGATTATGTTAAGGTGTTTTTTTTTTTTTCCCAAATGTTTAAAAAAATTGCGTCACTACATCAAGCACAATTGTCACATTAATTAAAATTGAACTTTTACGCAGTTTGAATCTGATTTTGTTTCTGAAAACTTGTTGAAATCTGTAAAACTAAGAACAATAGTAACACAATAATAAAACATAAACTGAACAAGTAATTTTTCTATTCCCCCCCCATATTCTTAACTTCTTCGTCGTCCGTAATGTGTCTAGCGCATTCAAGTGAAACTTCCGCAGGGCGGCTGTAACACGCTACAAGCATTCTTCTACATTTTAAAACTTTTAAACACTTCAAACGCTTCCTAAATGTTTACTTGTTTGAGTTTTTATTTTTGTTTGTTCTAATACCTCCTAGAGGGCAGTACTAATCAGGTTTTCTATTTCTAATTGAATTTTCCCCGGGTTTTATGAATATTCGCGCTATTTTACATAAAATACAAGACAGTGAGAGATGGCTTCAACGTCTACTCAGCAGAAAAAGAGAAAAAATGAGGTTATGAATTGGAAAGACAAGAGGGATACATGTTTGATGAGTGCAGTCCATAATAACTCGATGTTTGGTATTGGAACACAGAAAAGAACTGTAAAAAAACCAACAATTGTAAAAGATTACAACAACGAAATGGGGGGAGTGGACCACCTGGAACAGATGTTATCAAATTATCCTGCTGTTATAAATAAGCAGAGATATTATTTTCCCATTATGCTTTGTTTCCTTATAATTTTACTTAATATTCATTGACAGTCATCCACTACGAAAGTTATATATGGAAAGTTAAGATGTACAGAGAAAACAACATTACACGCTACAAAAAACAGGCGGCCGCTGGGGAGAAATTTTTGTGCACAGGAGAGGATGGCGAAAAGGTAAATGTAGATTTGTACACTGCATGACTTCCTTGTACGGAATATTAAATTATACGCATTTTTTGCTGTATTTCATTTAACCTTAATTCTTCGAATTTCATTAGATATATATTTCTCATTCAATTAATTCAGTTCTCACTTCACAACAAAGGAAAAATACATAAAACTTCAAAATATCTTTATTAAAAGTTGAAAAATATAGAAAAATATAAAAAGAAAAAAATCTGGTATGGTAGTTGGGTAATCTTGGTAGTTTTTCAGATTTTATATTACACTCAGCTTTTTTTTAACATTTTGTGTGTTGCCTTTATTTATTAAAAATTATAGTCTTCGCACTTAAACCATAAAACTCAATAAAAAAGTTCAAGAGCAATATCACATGGAAAAAAAAAAAAAAATATCTCACACTAAAGAATAAATGTGAGTCTTGCATGAAGACCCCCTCATGCAAGTTTTTTCTACTTTTATTCACAACACATCTCAAACGTAAACATATTAGACCGAAATGTAATCCAAGCATAATTAATCAAGTAATCAGAGAAAAAGAATAAACTAACCTAGTAAAAAAAATATCCGTTACATTCCAAATTCGAAGTATTTGTTTGCATAAACATTTATTGCAAGGATTTCCGGGAAAAAGATATCAGACTATTGCCAGAGATCACATGATCATTTTATTTTCGACAGTTTCAGAAGTGAATTGACACAGAATGCCGAAACGAAATTAATAGCCCTTCTGGGCAAAAATTACCCCTTTGGGCTAATGCAAAATCAAGCAATACGGCCAGCGGGCAAGAAGGCAGATTTTTCGGTGCACAAAACTAAAAGTTTGCTTTTGGTCGTACTCGACAGAAAGACACTGAAGGTGCATCACTATTCTGCTAAGTTTAAATGTAAACAAATATGGCTGCTTTGGGGAAAAAATTAGGCTTAGCCACACTTAAACAACTTATAAATTATTGATTGGCTGTATGGTATTGTGGTCACGGTGGAAGAAATAACCACTGTAACGGTACAAAAAGTATTAGACATTCCTCCTTTTTTACTGACAAATTTTTCATTGATATCTAAATTATAATTCCGATTTTTTTTGTGGTACTTATGAATATACGACAGGTAAAATAATAAAAAAAATGCAATTAAGTATTTTTCTTTTACTTTAGAATTGTATACTTCAATTTTTATTAAAAAATTAATACACTGTTTTCAAAAATTGCAAAGATATTTACTGCCACATATATTTTAATGTCAAATAATTATATTCTATAAAACTTATTTTAAGGTATTTGAATTTAAGTAATATTTTAATTCTTTTAAACATTGGTATGATGTTTTTAATTCGATATTCAATTAATATTTTAATCCAATTAAACGTTGGCGCAATGTTTTTATAGCAGTGTTTTTATTCCATTTTTTTTGCTTTAAGAAAGTAATAATTTAACCTTACTTTAGTATTTTATACTCTTAGTAAATGTATTTATTTGCATTTGCCAGCCATCTTAAAAAACAATGTTTTTAACAAAAAATTAATCCATTATTTTTAACGATATTTATTTTTTTAAGTTTCGAATACTTTACTATGCGTAAAATACGTAAAAACAGCGTTTTTCAAGATGGCTGACGATTGTAAAACTATGCCAACATTTGTGCCAATGTAAATGCCAAAAATCCCTGCAACCGTCTATCAAAAAGGTGCTACTTTGGTTGCACCTTTTTGGTAGACAGTTGCACAGATTTTTATTATGTATATCAAGTTAATTGCATTGCAATAAATTACTTTAATCATGCCACTTATGTACGAGGTGTTCATAACCCACTTAACCAATCAAAATAAAATTTCAGATGAGGTAATTTGAAGGTATGGGCTATTTAAAACAAATGCTCTTACGGTTATGGTTAGAGTGAAAACATTTTGAAATTTTTGAATGGCAGGACTTTTTTATTTTTTATTTTATTTTATTTTTATTTTATTTATTTATTTATTTATTTTATTCACTAACTTATCAGTGCATTGGAAAACCATAAATGGTGTTGGAATGATACAAGTTTGACAAAAATTGCTAGCATAAAACATTTTCAAAGCAGAGCATTATAAAGGGTTCTGACAAGATAGGAGGAGCATTATTCTGACAAGATAGGAGAAGGGGGGATATTGGAATTACAAGTTTTCAACGTGCCTACCTTCACAGATGGTGACACATAGCAAGCGGGAGATTGTTGACAACAATGACAAACTTAATATTGCAGGAGGAACTTCATGTGTAACTTTGGGTTTTATGTCATCTTTCAGTTTTGACAAATCTCATGGATTTGATTTGCACATCGTAGCTTTCAGATAATCCCAGAACCAGAAATCTATCAGAGTGAGGTCGGGGGATTGCATCAACTACAAAACTGCAAAGTTTTACAAAATGACTCTGTCTCCAAAGTGTTGTTGCAGCACTTACCAAACACATGTGACGACATGTGGATGAACACCATCTTGCATCTTTGCAATGTCATTAGCAACATTTCACTGCTACAATTCTGGAATATTGTTGTGTATACTGATCACTTGTGATGGAACATATTTTCATACCCGTGGAAGTGACCTCTTCGAAAAAGCGTACAAAGTACATGAAAGCACCTCTTCTGTGCCTTGCTGTTGGTCCCTTACATTTGTATTTGCAAAAGTTTTTACATTGGCAATTTTCGTGATACATGTTTTGTTCCAATGTTATTTATGTTTTTTCAATCACTGGTTAGTTCGCACAGGAAAAAGTAGTGTTGTCCTTTGAAAATTTCAAAATGTTTTTACTCTAACCATAATTGTGTGAATCCTATTGTTTTAAATCATCACAATGTTGAACGCATACCTTCAATATCTGAAAATTCATTTCAAGTGGTTGAGCGGATAGGCCCTGGGAGCTCATATATCAGAGTATTTTGTTTTATGACTACCCTGTATATATACAGATAGATAGATAGATAGATTTCTTATACATCACCTATTACACATGCAATATATACACCATACTATTTCATTTTTTTGTATTACTTAAATCAGTGAAGAAGTTATGGAATATTTAAATATATAACTAGAATCTTAAATGATTTTAAAAGAATAATTTATCCAAGAAACTGGAATTTCACTGTATATTTAGACATCTTTTTATAGGGTTTAATAATCTTTTTTATTTATTTATCTATTTGTGTTGTATATTTTCTATATAAGAATAATTATGTGTTTTATTAGGCATCCGTATGGGAAGAAACAAAAGCTACAATGAATGCTATAAAGAACAAAATTCCATTTGCACGCTGTCCAGCTAGACCTTATTTAAGTTTTGATGATGAAAGTTTATATGAAAGGTAATGTTACAAAATATAAATGGATTTTAACATACTTTCTTGCTCAAAATAAACAAAGTTTTTCATCCATATCTTACAGTCGTCATAATCATTAATATTGTTTTAAGTATATTAGAAAAGCATGCATTTTTAGGAAAAAGCAAGATTTTCTGATACCTATATAATTAGTTTTAAAAGTATTTAGTTTTTTTTAATTGTATAATTAACATAATATTATTTTTTCTAGCTTTGTAAGGATTATGTTAATTTTATTAACAGTTAAATTTTGAGTTAAACTGCCTTTCCTATCGCTTCTTAATTTCAACTTAACCACTTCCGGCCAAAACGTAGTTTTAGAATCACGTCTGAATGCTAATGAGGAAGAACGGTATTTAACTGTGAAGTTCTACTGCCTTAGTGAGAGAGATACCAGATTTTCTGGCTAGCACGCGTCCACTTTTTTAATCTACTCTCTCGTAAGCTATTATTATGCTCGGCCGTACTTTAGCCCCTTGATAGCTTCACAGTCAATTAACGTTAAGGGGCCAACTGTGTTAGAATCTTGATATCTTCGACTATATCTCTTTAGTTAAGATTAGTTTAATTTAATTCTTAGTCTCTTAAGTTGAAGCCCGAGTGTTGGCTTTATAACTCCAAGACGAAGTTTTGTTAAACTTTAGTTGGAATAATAAAGGGTTATTTCACCCTTCTATCATGTTGTTTCCTGTCACATGAACTCAAGCGATTATTTGCTTACTAGTTCTTAAGATTCTATACTTTCAACTGTAACTTAGTGGTACTGCAACTTAACACAGTGGAGAATCTTACAGCTTCATTAAACATATTTAGTTTGTCAAACTGCTGTATATTTCTCTTCAATGCATAATTTTATGTTGGTATCTTAAAGGCCTGAATATCTGGCATTCAACTATCATGTATAGAACACTATCACAAAGCAGTTTGATTTAGTTCCAATAATGGATAAGCGGAATATTACAGCACAATCATTAGATCTTTAGCTTGGCTTTATGCAAACCTAATTAATTAATATCTGCTTTTTCCTCATATTTTGAAACAATAATTGGTTCTGCCTTCTATGAAACAGTATGCAATGGAGTAAAGTTATGCTTTCCTGGCATAAAAGAAGTGAGTGTTAATGCACTTGATATGTGACTTTATTTATAATTAAATACTGTTGATGTAATGTGAAAAATTATGATTAGCACTATAAGATTTTATATGCTATATGTGTAAGTTATGTCTGTGAATTATTTAATTAAATAAAGAACACTCTTTTCCTTTAAATTTCTACCATAATGACTGCCATGTGTTTGGTGACATCACTGCCATCCTACATGGTCAGTGTGATTTCATAATCAAATAAAACATTTGTTTTCATATGTTTAAAGTCTATAAAAACCAATGGTTTTTATGTTTGAAAGCACTTTTATCTTAAAATCTTACATAATTTTAAATGTAGATTTTTGATATTTAAGTTGATATCAAATAAGATATTTGTTTTTAATGTTTGTAATTTTAGATTAAAAAATTTGTTCCATACACTTGATTTTTATGCCATGAATAGTGTTCTTTATATGCTAAATTATGTGGAATTTTCAACTATCTGGCATTTGGCATATTCTGAGCTTTTCAGACAGAACTTAATCACAGTAGTAAATGTCACCAAATTTTCAAAACGGTATGAAACTCTGGCAACCATGTGCATAACAATTTTGCAGTTTGACAGTCAGCAGCTTCATCATTAACATATAAATTCTTTTTGTTGTATTTCAAATTCTCACACTTTTTGTAAACAAAGTGTGATATTTTTTTGCTTTAAAATCAGTTTTTAAGTATGCACATATAGGATTTGTCTGCAATGAAAGAAACTGCAGGAATACAATATTTTACCATAAAATCACTAAAAGAAACAGTTGAATAGGTTTTTAGAGTGAATGCACAAAATTTCTGTCAGGACAAAAGAAAGAAAAAAAGCATTGATTTTCAGGATAAATTCCTAATTAAAACAGAAAATAAATATACACATAATAAATAATCTTTTGCAATTGCCAGTCATCATTCTTCTCGTTCTGTAAAAATTTATGAAACTTCGCTTATTTGCTGTGCTAAAGGGCAAGTATCTTTATATTCCCTTCTTGAGTTAAATTATTTTCTTAAAGCTGTTATTGCAGATTATTTATCATCTATTTTATAATTAATTAAATTGCTTATATTATGGGGCATAGAATCATCTGACAGTTTTTAAATGGTCACAGATAATATATGTGTGCAGGGGAAAAAACAAGTGAAATATTACACAAATAGTGAACAAACATACATAGTGAACAAATTATTTTCTTAAAGCTTTTTTTGAAGATTATATCTAATTTATAATTAATTAAATTGCTTATATTATGGGCATAGAATCATCTGACAGTTTTTAAATGGTCATGTCATATATAATATATGCATGTAGGGAGAAAAATAAATGAAACTATAAGTATATCAAAATGTGCTATTTATTACTTGCAAATTGTAAACTCTTTCTCTCTCTTACAATATTCAAATTTTAAATGTGTCAGTTGATTCCATGTTGACTTTAATTCATTTTACATAATAATATATTATAATTTAATTTATTCAATGCAGAAAATGCTTTTTTTGGGGGGGGTGTATAATTTATTATGTGTTAGGTGGCTGTAATTTTTATGATATATATATTTGAAGGTATGGGATTTATAAAATGGTTATTGATTGTATATTTAAAGCTTTAGAATATTTGTAAAAATTTCTGGATTCCATATGCTAAAAGTAATATTACATACCGTATATCTGTGTATTTTTAGTTTCAGAGATCCGTCCAAAAATATATCTGTAAAAACAGTCCAAAATCGTTCTATGAAAATGACAACTAATGCGGATCTTATCATAGTATGTATATTATTTTGCTCTTTAGTATTTGGTATCCTAACTGTAACTTCCATTTCTCATCTTACTTGACTATAGTATTAATTTTGTAAATCACACTATCACATAAATTGCTTATAGATTCATTTTTATGTTATATGGTAACTAATGATTTGTCCTCATTATTTATGATGATAAAGAATACTTCAGAAGATAAATATTTTTTGTTTTTATTGGGAAATCAGAAGATAAAACAATTTTTTGTTTTTATTGGGTTGGCAGGAAAGTAATTTCTGTTTGCAGAAACAGATAGTATTATGTTCGTTTTGTTATTCTTCTATCAATCTTATATATTTATTCTTTTGAGCTTTAGCATCTGACACTTTTAGGCTGCTACAGAAACAAATTCCATGTATAATTATTTCCAATTATTAATTTATGGCCAATTTTAACATGGTGTGCAAAAATAAACAATTTTGACATACTTTACTTTTTTAATTTTCATAAAGGCAAGAAAGTGGCTGAGGCTTCCAATATGATATTTGGAATGTATGGTGTTGATTGATTAATAAAATGCATGTGTCAGAATTGTGTTTTTTTCTTGGGGGGGGAGGAGATTTTTCACATGAAGATGGCCAATATTCTGGCCGACCTTCTGAAGATGCTGATGACAAAATTAAGGCTATAATTAAATTACATTGTATATAACTGTGCGAGTGATTGCAAAAAGGTTAATGTATCACATGCAGTGACTGAAAATCTCGTAGGATGTCTTGAACTTGCTTAGGAGCTCAATATTTGTGTTCCAAATGAAATGAAAAAAATGTACTTATCGCAACGAATCAATATTTGTGGTACGCACTTCAAACGTAATGCAGTTGAACCTTTTTTTGAAACTTAATTATTACTGGGGCTGAGAAATGGAACATATATTAATCAAAAAGATCACGATTCAAGCATGATGAATCAGGACAAATCATATCAAAAGCTGAACTGCATCACAAAAAGATCATGCTGTCAATCTTGTGGGATTACAAAGGTGTTGTTTGTTTTGGGCTGCTTTTAAGCAAACAGATGCTCAACTCAATGTTTACGGCAAGTAACTTATGAAATTGGTGGAAGCAATCAAAGAGAAAAAGCCAAAATTGGTAAATCGCAAAGGAATTGCTTATATTGCGAACATTGCGAAGCTTCATAGATCTTTAGCAACATGTATGAAATTATTGGAGCAGTCACAACCCCCATATAGCCTCAACCTTACTCAACCAGATTATAATGTGTTTCAAAGTTTACAAACTTCTTAAACCGTAAAAGTTTCAGTAATAATGCTGACCTAAATCACACTTGGTTAAGTTTTTTGCTGATAAAGACCAGAAGCTCTGTGAGCATGAAATCATGAAGTCACTAGAAAGATGGCAAAAAGTCAGTGAACAGAATGAGAGATATTTGATTGATTAAAGATAATTTTCTAAACAGAAAAAAGATGAGTTTTATTTCACACTAAAAAACAAAACTACGTTCTTGCCAACCTAATAATTTAAAAAATTACGTGTTTGAATTCTAATTCTTACTATTGTAAAAAAAGGTTTATGTTCTTTGAAATGTAAAGTTTTATTTTAATTACTGAAAAATTGGAACTGTCAGTATAAATTTTATTTGGAAGTTAGATAAAGGAAAAAAAAAAAAAGAGGTGTATCTGGAATAATTATTTTATGACTTTGAGTAAAAGATAAAGAATTTTTGATAATTTAATTAAAAAAAACTAACCTGAGATTGCTGGGGCAGCAGAAACTTATAAAATGATAGGGAGATTAGCTATTAAAAAATAGTAATTTTACCAAAAACTTGTACATTGTATTTCTTATGTTGATTAAATGTTTTTTTCTGAATTTTATTACCAGTTTAATAGCTTTAATTTCTGCATTCGCCTTTTTTCCCCCTCCCTTTCATTTTCGTTTAGATTCTGTTATAACTTTTAATTAGTATTCTCATAAGTAATGCATGGTGTTTATTTTATAGTTATATATGTATATACATTCATATGTAACAAAACATACTTTCTTTTTTGTAAATATATATTAAAATGAAACTAATAAACATGAACTGTCTAAAGAAAGAGGACAGTTCCATAAAAACTGAAGCTGGTAAATTTTTATTTACTTAAGTTTGTTAGAAGTGATACTGATGCAGAATTTTGTTTTTCCTTCTTATTTATAAAATTATTTTAAACAAATTATAAACTTATTTTAAAGAGATTAAATCCAAAATAACTTAGTGGAAGAAGGCTTCTTCCAACTTGAATTCTGAGAATATTCAAGCAGTTTTTAACAACTTCTTATATTTTAATAGCATTTTTTTTAATCTTGCTAGGAATTGTCCAGTATTATTAACAAATTAGAAGAGGAGAAAAAGTAAGTAAACAGTTATTGTTTAATATGATATTTTATTTCTGTTATAAGGTATCTTCTTTTGTTTTTTTACAGTGAATTGTTTATTTAAAAGCTGATTTTGAAATATAAATACAACTATTCATAATAAATTATTAAAGAATATTTTTACAATCAATCTTATGATTTTTTGTTCCCATTTGTTTCTGAATTTTTTTCTTTTAATTTAATGAAAGTTTCATTTTCTTTCCTTTCTTTTTTTTAATTAATGCATTTCATTGAAGATTAAATTTTTATGAAGATATCCATTCATAAATTTAACATATGATCTCTTAATTGTTATTATACCTTCTCGTCTGGAAGTTTGGTTTTGAAAATGTTTTTTGTTTGAAGTGAATTTTTTTGCTTCTAAATACAGTTATATTCAGACTGATTGACCTAAATTCAGATGAGCATAATTCCATAGCTATTAGTGGTGATATATACTAAAAGAAAATATTGAATGTCGCAAAAATGGCCTACACAATGCAGTGCAGGACTTTATCCCCATACCGAACCCCCATCAAAGAACCGTCCATAAAGATATTCAGCTGGGTGCAACATCCCACAAAAATTCTAGCTTACATCATGATGTTGTTACCTCCAAATGTGTGATGTTTGGTGATGTTTGATGTTCTGGGCCTGAGTCCATCCCCCTTGTTCTTAACAGACCTTACATGCTTATCTGATTCCAGGGCAAACTGAGATGTTGATGACACCACTTTAGTCGTATTCTTCTATATTGGGTGGTTACTGGAACACAAATGTTTGATTCTTGGTACAGTCTCTTCCTGTGAGGCCTTCAGTGCATAGTACTGGCAGATATTCTGTTATTAGAGGACACTGCAATCATGGATGTAAGAGTTGTGGAGGTGCTTCGTCGATTCTGTTTGTCTACCATAGCAATATATTGATCTTGAGAAAGGGTTAATCCTTGGTTGATTGGATCTCCAGACATCTGTTTGACTGGTTTGGAATTGTTCCGAATTTGGAAAATTACTAAATGATCGACGACAAAGAAAAGCGCAACATCTTTGATTGGCTGTTCTGCTTCAATGCATCTGATAGCATGGCAATACATACTATGAACCATTTGTCTTCTTTCAGCCACAGAAATACAAATATAATCAAAAATTATGCTATAAAAGTTTTAAGCACTTCATATCAGCGTTTAAATTAATCTTCTCAAGTCCTTCAGAATGCTGGTGTATTCAACGACTGCTTAATTAGCATATGTTTAACCCTTTGCGGCGCACTATACATTAACGTCAGAATTTCAACAAAAAAAAGTTGTATGCAGTCTATTTAGTCCTAAAGGAGCGTACAGGTAAAATTTTGTAAAAATTGCACTTACCGGTTTAATTCTGTGGGTGTTCCATGAGGTGGAACACTGCGCCGCCAGAGCTTTTAAAAGTGCGACTAAGCGAGCATTGCAGTGAAGCACGGAAATGAGTAGGAGCATTTTTATAGTAATGAATAAATACTGTATTATGGCTGTATACATGGTTTCCTGGATATACACAATATTCTTGAACATATATGGATAAATGAGATAAATATCTATACACACAAGTCCTATATACAAAAATATTCACAAATTTTCTTATTTCTTAGGTTTGTGAAATTGTTCAAAGCAAGTCACACCTTTTTGATGGAAGCACAGACCAACTTTGCAGGTTTTGCACATAAAACTTGTTTTGTGTGGCTTCTGCTTTGTGCTACAATGTGCACATCGTCTACGCGTACCCTTCACTGGTATGTGTTCAACACTACTGTAGCGTTTTCCCCGGAGACCTTTACTTTATGCCTGGGAGTATCTTCAGGTCTTGAAGGAAGTTGCCTCTTCAAATTAATCTCTGACGCTTTCATGGCACAGAGGGAATACAGCAAATTTAAATGGAAATCTTTGGACTGTAATCCGAGGGTAATTCATGAAACACTTTTAGAGCTTCGGAAAGAGTTAGACCTCTCCGCGCCATTTATGGAAAATTAATAATAAAAAAATTAACTATGATTAATATTAACAATAAAGAAAAGTAAACCTATAATATATACATACACGAAAAATATCTACACAATTATTGAAAATAGATGGGAAAGAGACTAAAAAGCGACAGCAAAAAATTCGCACAGGTCTAAGTAAAGATGAGTCAAGCTAGTAATAAAATTCCCGCCTAAAAACTTCTCCCAAAAAATTCAAGATGCCAATATTAGGGCTTTCATAACACAAAGCACACCTCACCCCTCAATACTGCTTTGTTTGAATTCATCTCCCCCCCCCCCAAAAAAAAAAAAAAAACGTAAGCAATGGATGTTTTCTCCTAAGCACAGATGTTCTGATTCGTAACAGCATGAGATCGCTAAAGGCGCAGTGTTCCTGCTAATGGAACACCCGATTTTATTCAATGATTCTGCATATGGTTTTTGTATGAAAGATTAAAAAAAAAGTGTAGAACAAACAATTTGGATTATGCCTAATTTTTTTTTCCAAATAAAATTTTTTATATCATTAAAAAAAATAGAGAAAATTACTTTAAAAAAGTGGATTTTAATAACACATAATGAATGAAAATTCTGTGTCTCCTTGTGATATGCTGCTATCTACTGTTTAAAAAGAAAAGTTCAAAGTATATTACAAAGGCATTTTTATCTATTTACGGTTGAATTTAAAGGTTTCAGAAGCGATTCAATTTGGGTGTTCCATGTAGTGGAACACTGAGCCACAAAGGGTTAAACAGTCAGTTTTGGTTGGTTGTAACATATGGTATTTCGATACTGCCATTTGCACCCTCTGTGATCTTCAGCCACACAAATCAACTATGCTTTCCAAAGCTTCGTGTATTTAACATTTAGAAGCCAGTGTAATAAATCACTGCAATGAGGCATAAGAAAAATATAAAATTTGAAGTTTGGCACTTTTGGAGTTGAAGATAATAATAATTCTTATTTGGTTTTCTTAATTACTTGAATTACAGTTACCCTGTATTTAATTCATTTGATATGAGCATATGTATTCATTAAACATCTTCAAACATGTTAAAGATCATAATTGCTTTAAAAAGGAATTTGTTCTGTTTGAGCCTGTATTGAATTAAGGATTAAAGTCACAATCATTGTGTAATAAAAATATTTTAATATTGCTGCTGCATGGGAATTTTTAAAAAAAGTTGCATTTTATATTAAATTGCTTTTATTGTTGTAATGACAGTTCCTTACTATGCTGTGAAAGATAAGTTCTAATTAAAGATAGTTTTTCCTCTATTCAATTCATGGATTTAATGATTTTTTGTTACAATTAACAAATTATTTTTAAATGACATAGTAAGGAGCAATAGGCAGTGAATCTCTTAACTGCATTCATATTATTCTCAATCTGATCAAATATTTTTTACGAAATTTAAATTACATTTATACATGGATTATTTTATGAAAATATTTGCAGCTTTGTTGTATATTCTTATAATTATATAAAATAATATAAATATTATAAAAATTTATTATTTCAGGCAAATTTCTGCTGTAGTAGGTTTATATAATGAAAAACATGCAGCAGAATGCAGAGCAGAAGTCTAATGATGCACATGAAGATAAAAGAAGTTTACCCGATCAACCAGCATTATCTGAACTGAATTCTAATTTAGAAACACAACTCGGAAGACTAAAAACCTTGTTAGAAGTAAGGACATTGCTTGAATTATGCCCTTTTTAGTATATTAAAAATAATATATTATTTATTATTAAAATATAATTTAGTGTATTAAAAAGTATGAATCAGGGAAGTGGTTTCCCTTATTAAACTTTATTATTAATGATATACAGTAGAATTCTTATAATGCACAAATCTGGGAATGGGTATGTGGATTGGAATGTTATGCAGATTATGGATCATGCCTTTCTGAGTTTTGTTCCCTTTTCCAATTTTTATATTAAATTTAGTTAATTTGTACATAAATAACCGTACTACAGTGATACCTTAAGAATTATTTAATCAAGATTTATTGAATACAAAAGTATATTCTTAAAAGATTTATATATGAAGAAAATAATATCAACAAAAGGTAAAGCCTAGTGAAGAAAAAAAGGATATATGATAGGGAAATATTTTGAAAAGTAAAAAAACTCCTTCATAAAAATACATCAAAAGTACTTTTTGTAAAAATGTTGTATGCCAATTACAGTAATTTTTATACTCTTAAATTATTGAATAAATATATACGTTACTCACAAAACTCTCAGTAGTAACTTTTTTTAAAATTTTGTTTTTGTTTTTGTTTAAAATGCTCATACTTAATTGCATTGAATCAGATTTTTCTAAAAGGAGAAAGGTAAGAATTATTTTATAATAAATATCATAATCATAATGATTTTTAACAAAATTGTTATATTTAAGATACTGCATACCTGCCAACTTTTACGAATTTTTCGTAATTTTTACGAAAATGTGTTTGTTTTTACGATTTTACGATCGTAATCCATTTTTTTACGATTTTTTTTCCTTTTTCAAGTGTTTTTAGTGATTTTTGTCGAAATTTTAGAATTTTTCGCCAATTGCATCGTGTTTTATCGCCAACTACCGACTACTTCGAATCCAGTAACCTGCGGTTTCTCCCAACTCGCCGCTTAACCAGCCAATCCAATGCGCTGAACTTGTTTCTCCCACACTTTTCTTTGTGGGCGTCAAAATCTCCCCTGCTTATCCAAATTCTTAATGATCTTTTGAAAGAACTTTATACTAAGTTTGTAAAACTGTCCGTTGTGAAAAACAGTGTGTTGATTCGTGTTGCCTATAATAGTTTGGCAAATCAAAAGGATGACAATGATCTTATAATTGGAAATCAAACCAGGGAACTTGTAAATTCTTTGAAAGATCATGAGAAAAAAGAATTTTTTCAATGTGTTAGAAAGTACTTTTCCTCAGCCTGTGATTACATTGTAAGGAAGTTTCCTTTGCAAAATGAAGTTCTTTTAAATGCTGAAGTGGCAAATTTGAAACAAATTGAAAATTCATCTTTTGAAAAGATTCGTTTTTTATTGATAAATTTCCATTTTTGTTAACAATTAAAGAAAATGAATGCCATAATAATGCTTTAGATGAACTACAGAACCCATTTTCTGCTGCACAGTTTGAGGACTTTGCCAGTTCTGGAGAAGATAGACTTGATGTCCTCGTTGGTACTATAAAAAGAATAAAAAGAGCTGATGGAACACCAAAATATGATAAACTAGCAAGAGTTTTATGTGCTATTCTCATAATTCCACACAGTAATGCTGAGTGCGAGAGTCTTCAGTGTTGTGAAGAAAAACAAAACTATGTTTCGTTCTTCAATTTCACCAAAAACTCTAGAAAACATTTTAATTGCTAAATGTTATGAGGAAACTAATTGTTATGACAGGAAATTTTCCAAAGAATTTTTGGCTAAAGCCAAAAAATGCACTCTAAATTCATTGCAATAATTTTTTTTTTGTGTAACATTAAGTTCTTGTTTTATGTTTCCTAATAAATTTTTTAGTTACTACTTAATTGAGATTTACTAATGTAAGTACAATTTTCTTTTTTCTATTTGTAAAAATTGTTATTTTTTTAATATCAAAGCATGATATTAATTCTTCGTGTTCTTTTGAATTTGCGGGAGAAATCTTCTGAATTTTTATCTTTAGAGGTTGGCAGGTATGATACTGCTAATTTTTGAATTGTTTCCGAAAGCAATCAGGAATATGAACACCCTTTATTCATTATACAGTGGTAGTCCAGAAATCCGCAAAGCTTGGGATCAGAGGTTGTGTGGATTTCAGGACAGAAAAGATAAAGCATAATATTCAGACTAAAAGCGCAAAATAAATAAGACGTATTAGTTACATTTAATTAAATTGTTATATATATTATTGTAATTCATGGGTAAAAGTGCAGCACCGAGGTTTGTCGATTTCGCCTCATGCAAAGATTTCCAGTTTCGGATTCCTGTGTTAGACTCACTGTTGCTGTAAAATTTCAACAGCTTTTCTTTATTTTTCTGTATATCATACACAATCGTGTCGCAATTCCATACGATTCTGCTATAAACCGAGGAGTAGCACCTGCCTCCATCATTTGCAGAATTTGCATTTTTTGTATTACTGTCAATGCAACGTGTTTACGTTTTTCAACGTTGCAAGCAGTAAAGTCACGAGTGCGTTTCTTATCTGCCATTGTATTAAAAAGGGCTGAAATTGAAAATATTCTTAATTTATCCACAAAATGTCCGGATAAAAAAAAGGCAGCACTAAACAGTCTCGTGAAATAACAAAGCTCAGAAAATACAACGGGAATCGTGAACTTGAAAGAAGAGTTGAGTGACTTGTCTGCTTTTTTACCTTGATGCAGATTAGGGGGGGGGAAATTATCGTGAACTTGAAAGAAGAGTTGAGTGACTTGTCTGCTTTTTTACCTTGATGCAGATTAGAGGGGGGGGAACTTATTTACTTTTGTCTTATTTTTTTAAAATTTTTTATATCAATAATTTGGTGTTTCCGTTATGACTCATTATTATTCGGTAATTATGACATAATTATTCGGTAAGTATTTTTTTTTTTCGATATTTTGTACTCAATGTTGCAGTTTCCAGAATCTGTAAACTGAATATTTATATTTTGAGAGGCAACACGGATTTCATGTCGGTGATATTCGGTATTTGACTGTATATATGTATTGAATGGTGGGCAGTTCCCTTTTTTTTATCATTGGAGACTCCTGAGCCCAGAAGTAGTCATCATTTTATTGTGGAGGCAGCTAATAGGTGGCCACCGCTACCTCCTATGAGGGGATAGACAATTTACATTCATGCCCTTCTCTGGGATTCGATTCCAGGCCCTTTGGTATCGCAGTCGGCTCTCCTAATAAACTTATCATGAGAAAATGTTAAGTTCCAAATGGAATCTAGTTACAAAACTGGCTGATTTCTACTGTCTGACTTGCTATATTCAAATACAAATAACTATATATTTATGAAAATGAATAACCATGTGTCTGTTCTCATTTTCTGTGCATTCCTGCATTTTACAAAGTTAATTAGAGTGCTTAATTTGATCAGCCAATTATGTAATTAGATTCCATTTAAAACATAATATTTTCTCATAAAGTTGTTAACCATAATGTTGTTAATGGTGAAGTAGTAAGTTGTTGTTGCTGTATTGTAAATCAGTTAAAAAAATGAATAGCCATGTATATGTGCTCATATTCAGTGTATTCCTGGATTTGCAAAATTAATTACTGTAATTGGTTAGATCAGCCAGTTTTGTAACTAAATTCTATTTGGAACTTAACATTTTCTCATGATAAGTTGAAAGATATGATTGATTTTTTTTTTTTTTTTTTTTTTTTTTTTTTTTTTTAAATTCAAAAATCGAAAATTTCTAGTTAATGATTTGGCAGAAATTCTTTTATTTGTGAGGAAAAAACAAAATTTCTAATACAGCAGATTTTATATATTCTGTGAGTCTGATTATTGAAGAAAAATACATATACTGTATCAGACAGATATGATATAATCTTAACGTATTAAAAAATTGCTTACTTCTTGTAGAACTAGATAATTTAATTATCTTATTTTGAACTAAGCTGTTTTCTACTACTAAATTTCAGTTGATGTAATTTATATATTTGTGCTTTTACATATAGTTAACAAATTAGTATGCTTTGCTAGAAATATTGTAAATCAGTTTCACTAAAAATTATTTTCTCCTATTTCTTTAATTTTTAGAACTTAAAAAAATCAACTTTAGCCAAGAAGGAAATGGGGGTTTCACCTGTGCCTCATGCTCCATTCAGCAAAATGGATCATTATTTTGAAAGTACTCCAGTCAACTCTGCTACTTGTCCTGTTCAAACAAAAGATGAGACGCAAGTGTACTTTGACAACAGCAATGTTACTACAGAAAAACAGCGAGCATGTGATACTTCTCTAGACTTTTCCAATGGTATGTTTACCAATAGCCATTCCGAAAATACAGAGCTCTTATCTTCTGCTTCCAATGGTTATTTAAAAGAAAATCATTCGTCGTCATTTGACTTGAGTAATGCTTGGAACAGTTCTAGTTCCTTAAATTTATCTGCAAAAATTGCGGAACTTGGAGGTGAAAGTAAATTAAGCCCAGTATATTTGTATTCTGAGAGTGAATGGAATGAATCTTTAAATAGAAGAGGAACTGAGTATAGTTGCTTTGTTTCTCCAGTCAGAAATTCAGCACATTTCTCTGTAGCAAACAACAGTGAAAATAATCACAAATCCACTTATACTGTGAATAAAGATGGAAGTTTGGAAAAGTTAGAATTAGAGCTGAATGCAATAATGCTACAAATAGAAGATTTGCTTCCTCAAGTGTCCTGTAAGTTAATTTCATTTCATTACTTTATATAGGTGCTAGATTTAATTCCTTAATTCTTCAAGCATCCTAGGCATATGCGTATATTCAAATATGCACACACAAAAATATTTTTGGTGATCTTGAAATGTATCTAGACCAGGGATGGTGAACCCCTTTTGATTAGAATGCTAGTTAAATTACAGTTTATTATTTTTATGTGCCTAGTGTGTCACTTGTTGTAGTTCTTTTTAGAAATCACCTTTAAACACCTGCTTTGATTTCAAGCTATCAAATTATATTTTGTAACTATATTTGCTTAGTTATTAACTTGCATCAAATGTAAACTGAAGAAATGGTACTTTAAAAATATTTCAGTTTGATATTAAGATAATGTAAAGTGTCTTAAAGTATATGTCCTTTATTGCAAGTGAAAAGGTAATGCTTTTCTTTTAGTATGAATAATTAGATATATCAGCACAATTCAAAATATGCCTTCATTTTTCACCAGATCTTTGTATCTGCAAGCAGTTATTTTTGTGGGATTCTTTGCATTGGTGCAAAGGAGAAAGGTAAACAAGCACTACCCCTTTTTGAACACTATGGGCATGATGGACCTTTTTTCAAACAGGATTGCTGATTTAGTACATGAATAACAAATATTTAATTTTCAAAATTATACTTTGTCCCCTTGGCATAGTGTGAGAACCACTGCTCTAATATAAATATTTTATGTGACATTTATTTAAAAATTAAGTTTTTGTATGATGTTGAAGCCTTTTAACCTTTCACATTTTCAGACTGTTATATGTAGAAAATCAAATCGCCTGAATCAGTAAAGAAGATGATAGCATTCATGGGTGCTGTCATTCACAAAAAATCATTTCGCTGTATCTTGAAACATAAGTTTTATTGCATGCCGCCTTCGTATTCAAATAAAAGAAAAGAAAATGGAGACTATGTCATAATTTGTAGAGTTCTTTCTCATCCCACTCGCGTACTTCTCTAAGAAAAAGTGTCTTCCTTACAGGGACTTCCATGGTGGAGGAGGGCAATATTGACCGTTCCAAACTTTTTAAAATATCATTTTTAATGAATGTAAGTGAATAAAAGTAAATATATACATGTGGTGTGCCATCAAAATATTTGCCACAGGCCACAGGTTTGTCACCCCTGGTCTGGACAACTCAAAGTCTTCTTTGTGAAGATTTGGTACCAAACCCTTGGCTGCTTGGAGGGTTTAAAAGGTCTGTTGCAACAGGTTTACATTTCACAAATCATATTGTATGTCTGTTGCAATCAGACAGAAGTCACCTTTTTAACAGAACATTTGTTCAATTTGAAATAATACTATTTTGCAAATGCCATTTTTAAAAATTTTATCGTAATTTTGTGCATCTGACAGTTTTAAAAAGTAACTCTTGTAATGCATTTTTCTTTGATCTTAAACATTTTTGTTGTAGTAAATGCTACGATAAAATTTGAAGATTTATAATACCAATTAGAGAAATTTATTAACCCATTCACAGCAGATATTTAAATTTTTGGTAGAATTTAAACGATAAAGATTAAAAATTTTAATACTTAGCCCTTTAAATAGCTACAGTTTCAGGTTAATAAGCAACTAAAACTCTTGAGCATAATAGCCAGCAAAAGTGTTAAATTGCTAAGTCTTACACTTGTGCTTTCATCAAATTGTTGCATTAACTATTTTGAAATAGTGTATGTTAGCATTAATTCCCTAAATCTCGTGAACAATTTCTTATTAGAAAAACATTTTTATTACTCATTGATAGATGTTAACGATATTGCATGTATATGATTTAACAATTCAGAATTGAAAATTAATTATGGGAACATCCAAGAACCAATCAGTGTTTGTGGAGGCATGATTCAGTTATTAGAAAGGCATATAACCAGGCAAATGGTGCCATTCCCCACAATATGAGATCATGTCTTTGGTCTGTCAGTTGTCTGTTCTGAACAATGTTGCCATTCATTAAAGTATTTAATATAGCTTTCAAATTGAAAAATTAGCCTCTATATACTTTATATCACGTTTTTATTTTATTTTTAATATATTTAAAGCTGATTTAACTGAAGTAATTCATTATACTTTTAATTCATATAATTTATATAGTATCTAACTAAGGATTTTTATAAACTTTATATCATCATTATAATTATGAGAGGCATTTCTAATCCTCTGTATTACTTGATTCAGTACAGAATAATTATTTGCATGTTGCTTGATTATGAGTTTTTTAATCTATTGCACTTCAGAATGCAGTTAAAATTTGCTGAAAGATCATATATATATATATATATATTTTTGACAATTTTTCATTTAGTTGTTATATGTTGTTTGAAAACAAACAATCAGATGGCCCTGCTGTTGCAGATAAAGGTGCATTCTCATCCTAGTAAAATAACTTTAACATATTATTGTATGTGATGTACTGTTAGCATTGTTTTGAAAAAGTTTCTGATAGAATTTTTAAATAAAACTAGTAGTCCACAAGGCAAACATGTAAAATAAAAAGACTTTTAGAATGTATGCTAAATGAGTTAGAATTGCTTTTGTGTTGCATATACATAATTTCATTAATGTTGCATTTTGTAATTATTTGCACGAATCTTTTTATTCAGTAGGCAGAAAATAAACCAGTAGAATATATAACATCTTAATCATGTTAATATTTATACATGAAAGGGACTGTAAAGTCTAAGAAACCACCAGTGGACAAGTGGATTAGATTGCTGAATGCTTCTAGCTTGATCCAGATTTATGTCCTGGTGATGAACAGTTTGGCTGCATGTGCATTTTCGTAGTTCTTTCCTTCGATAATATGAAAGTAATCCAGCTTCATTTAAAAAGTGCTCTATGAAGTGTTTCTTTCTCTTAGGTAGAAACCTGTCTCAATTTAAAAAAAATTAAAATTGCTATTTTGATTGTGTTACTTATCATATTTATCTACATTGAATGATTAAAAAAGTCTATATTAACAAGAACTGGATCAGAAAGAATGTAAATTAACAGAATGATTTTAGTTATTTCTTCTTATTATTATTATCGCTGTTTTCAGCATTTCTCATAATATCAAGACAAAGAAATTCATAACAAAGTAACTTTGTAAAACTACATTTATATGCCAAATGTTTACTAAAAATTGGTTTTAGATGTCTTTCCATTTTCACTTTAAATAGAGTTTAATTCTGAACTCGGTAACCATGATTTCAGAATGATTTAATTCTGTATTGCTTGGATAACTGAATTATGATGGTTAACCTGCAATTTGAATTTTTAGTAAATATTAATCCAAAGTTAGTAAATGAAGATTAATTTCAATATACACCAAAGGCATTACATTATTACCAACCTCCTTCTGTAACAATAGGCTTGACCAGGAACAAAACCACTGCATGTGCATGGCTGATTTTGGAGCATATAAAGTGGCTATGCATTGTCTTTCCAAACATGGCGACATACTGGGGAAAGCAGCTAATTTATCAGACTTAAATAAAGGTCAAATCATTATGGCTCGGCGACTGGGAACATCAATTTCAGAAACGGCACATTTAGTGGGCTGTTCACGTGCACTTGTTGTGAGCATATATCAAAAGTGGTATATGAATAGTGAAATGACAAGTCGCCGGCCAGCAGTTTGTCATCAATGGTGCATTGATTCCAGAGGAGAATGGAGATTACTACGTACTGTTTGCCGTGACCGAAGAGTTACAACAGTGGCAACCCATACAGTGTTTCTCAGCACACTGTGCAGTGCACATTGCTGCATATGGGCCTATGCAGCAAGAGGCCAAAGCATGTCCCTGCATTGACAGCACGTCATTTCCAGCTGCATCTGTAATGGGCCAAGAAACATTGGAATTGGACATTAGAACAATGGAAGAAAGTTGCATGGTCCAATGAATCATGTTTTCTGGTTCATCACATCAAATGCTTATACACCGATTTCCAAACGAACCCATGGCTCCCAGATGCACAGCTCGACAGAGCATATTAGGATCTATAATCTCCGTAGAACAATCCTTGACGTCTGTGCACTACTTGCCTTACTTTTTAAGTAGGAAGTGTGGGGGGGAGTTTCTTAAGCCAGAGTTATAAACACCGCCAGCTTTTAGAGCAACACCACTGCAGATGGATTAAAGATTCTTTTAAATTATTTTGTTAAGTCATAATGAATTCTATGAAAAAAAAAAGTTTTGAAATGAGTTTTATTTGAGAAAAAATAAAAATTCAAAATGCCTAGCTGCCTAAAAAATATGTTGCCATTTGCTGTAAGTAAGAAAGCAACAAACACATATTGGGTATGTTTTATAATTTTAAGAATAAAGCTAAATGCAGGAGTACTTGAAACAAAATGAATGTTATGTTTAATATATAAAATGCATTATAGTATTTATATTCTGATTTTTATTACAGTTACATATGTTCCCCCTTTTCTAGCTATAGCAAATGATTCCGAGTTTGAAAAGGAAAAAGTTTTAAATGCTTTATCTGAAGTAGAAGGTGCTG